TCTAAAATGTCAGTCATAATGGTCTTAAAAATGTCTTTAAAAGTCTTAAATTTAACTCCTGCAGAAACCCTGTTAAATTAGACACTTGTAGTGAAATGTTAAAAGGGCTTGCCCGTAAGACACTGAAAAGGTGTAAAGTCAGAGAATAAGTGAATGTAATGTTATAAAGGCATCTTCCCTCTCTTTTGTTAACAAAAAAGCACAATCATATCTCAGACAGATTAATTTTGGTTTATAAGACCTCAATGAGCTATCAGAAGCCACGGTTATTCATTTTGTTTTACCTATACCCTAACCGGCCATTTTATTAGGTCCACCTTACTAGTATCGGGTTGGACCCTCTTTTGCTTTCAAAACTGCCTTAATCCTTCATGGCATAGATTCAACAAGGTACTGGAAATATTGCTCAGAGATTTTGCTCCATATTGACTTGATAGCATCACGAGGTTGCTGTAGATTTGTCAGCTGCACATCTATGATGCGAATTTCCGGTTCCACCACATCCCAAAGGAGCTCTATTGGATTGAGATCTGGTGACTGTGGAGGACAATTGATTACAGTGAACTCACTTTCATGTTTAAGAGTACAGTCTGAAATGATTCACTTTATGACATGCTGGAAGTAGCCATACACTGTAGTCATAAAGGGATAGACATGGTCAGCAACAATCCACAGGTAGGCTGTGGTGTAGACACAATGCCTAATTGGTATTGAGCCCAAAGTGTGCCAAGAAAATATCCCCCACACCGGTACATAACCACCACTTGCCTGAACCCGTTGATACAAGGCAGGATGGACCCATTCTTTCATGTTGTTGACGCCAAATTCTGAGCGCAAACTGTAGAGATGGTTGTGTGTGAAAATCCCAGTAGATCAAAAGTTTCTGAAATACTCAGACCAACCTGTCTGGCACCAACAACGATGCCACTTTCAAAGTCCCTTAAATCATCTTTCTTCCCCATTCTGATGCTTGGTTTGAACTGCAGGAGATCGTCTTGACCATGTCTACATGCCTAAAGGCATTGAGTTGCTGCCATGTGATTGGCTGATTAGAAATTTGTGTTAATGATCAGTTTGATCTAATAAAGTGCCCAGTGTTTGTATATTTTGGTTTATTTTTTAACTATTGTAGTGTCAGGTAGCCATTGACTTGCATGTAGTATGAGAAAATGAACTTTTTTCAGTTATTTCATGTGTATTATTGGCAGAACTATACCTTTGAACTTGAAATGTATGTGGGCTATTATGTACATGGCTTCCATTATTTGCATTTGCAGAAAGCAATCAGAGAGAGAGAGCAGAGAGCAGAGAGAGAGAAAGCATGCCCGGCACCATCGTCATCATCATCATCATCGGCAAGATGGACGACATCGGAGAGAAGAGAAGCCGACGGCAGAGATGCAGCCCTTGACGTCAATATTGACTCAGGCCAATAACAACCCAGAGACACAGACGCAGCCCAGCGCAGCCTCAGCTCTCAAACCCCACAGTCCCGAGAGAAAGCCACAGGCAACGGTGTCATTCAGGACTCACACTACTGAAAAACACACCGTTTCCCCTGTTTCCACCTTGAGAGCAGCACGCCACCAGTAGTGCACTCATCATGCTCAATGCTGTTGGATTTACTATGGATGAATGAAGTGAGTTATTATAGCAGGTCTATCTTCAATCCTACCAATGAGGAATAATGCCAGTATTGTTTGTTCTCATTTACAGGTTTTGTTACAAAGAGATGTTCAACTGTTTAATGTAAATCTGGCCAGACACCTAAAAAGCTCAAACCCAGGTTTAATAAATGTTAAAATACTTGAAGAACAATGCCTGGGCAACTGTGTTGTTTTCAACACTTAAGTTTAAATGTTTGGCTCTGCTTTAACTAAATTAAGAGTTGTATTTTATTCATTAAACTGTGGTGACAATAAAGACATTTAGGCATGGGCCGATATTAGATTCTGACAGTATGATAACCTTGGATAAAATGATCACAATATCAGGGTATTGTGATTACTGCTCTAAAATATATTCTTTTTAAATGTCTGAGTAAAAAACAAAAACTTTTTTCGCCCTTTGAACACAATAGATTTTATTCTAAGAAACATTTAAAATATTTTGGAGCAGTAAACATGTCAGGCTAAACAATTCAAATGAATCATTGACTTCTGCTGTCTTTATAAGTTTCAAAAACACAGATTCTTTACAGTTTAAAACAGCATCTTCAGAGATTTTTCTGCTGGAGATACTGTTGTCCTGAAAACCTTGTTAACCAGTTTTCCAAACTGCTGTATTCCTTGAAAACAGTTATCGTCTCATGCCTAAAGACATTTATAATGTTATGGAGTATTTCTATTTAAAAAAAGTTTTCCACAAAAAGTACATGGCTAACTTTTAACCCATAAATGCAACTGTGGCATAAAACTTTCTTTCCCGAATTGTATAAAATCTGACCGATTTCAAATATTTGTACTGCAGTGTGAATTTTATTCATTCATTTTCTTTTTGGCTTTATTAAGTCCCTTTATTAATCAGGGGTCACCACAGCGGAATGAACCACCAACTCATCCAGTTTTACACAGCGGATGCCCTTCCAGCTGCAACCCAACACTTGGAAACACCCATACACTATGGCCAATTTAACTTATTTGTATGTGTTTGGACTGTGGGGCAGACAGGAGCGAACATGGGGAGAACATGCAAACTACAAAGAAATGCCATCTGACCCAGCCTAGCCTCAAACCAGTGACATACTTGCTGTGAGGCGATTGTGCTACCTGTGATGCCCCATATGAATTTCTAAAATAAATAAATAAAATAAACAATTAAAAAATTAATTCAAAACTGAAATTTCTGTCATCGTTCACTCAACCTTCACTTGTTGCAATTAAGTCTGTTTCTTTTGTTGAACACAAAAGAAGATATTTTGAAAAATGTTGGAAACTGGGGTCCGTTATTCGTACGTGGATTATTCAATTAGCTGGATTTGGTTATTGATGATTTGGCACAATCCAGTATTGTTTCCTTCTTCAAAACTGATCCGAGAGTTATTGTAATAGCCGCAGTTCTGGTAGTTTAAACCTGCTAGAGAGGAGGCTCATTTCAAGCAAAGGTAATGCTGAAAGTACAGATTGCTGATATTTTCTTACAGTGGTAACCTATAGGGTTATATACACTGGGGAAAAAGTTAAATAGTTAAAAAAAAAAAAAAAGTGTATATATACACATTTATCATTTCTAATAATATGTAATATTAAAGTATATTTATGTTTATATGCATATAGGTTTTAATATGTATATATAAATAAAACTTAGTAAATAAAAGTACAAAAATGAGGTGGTTCTCAATCAGGACATTTATTATGATGTTTTTTAGATACACATGCGTACTATTTTATGGTACCGATCAAACTTTAGACCGATTTCTGAACGATTATAGACATAACAAATATTAAACTGTTTTTTTTTTTTTTTTTTTATGAAGGATTAATAATTTATGCAGTCATGCGAATGGCTTGATCGCTAATATGTCGGTGATTTGATGCTTTGCAAAAGCTGCAGACACCCTTATCGATATTAAAATGTTTTTTGATGCGAAATTTATTTAAAACCTTACGCTGATAAAGAGACTTGAATAGGCTTCGGCTACTATAATAAAGAAAATCCACTCTAAGATGTAAAACTAAATAAATAGCTAAATACTCTGGACACATGAAAGTGTAAAGCCTGCAGCAGACAACAAAGGGGGAAAGTTATTGCGTGTCATATTTAACAAACCGTTTACTATGCATTTAATGTCATTTTGTTCACATTTGTTTGAAGAACCAAATTAGCCATAGATCAGTGATCAAGATTAAAAGATCCCGCATCTGTCAAATCATTAGATCATTTACACGAGGTACCAAGAACGGACCCCTGGTAACCATTAACTTCCATTGTATTTGTTTTTCCTGCCATGGATGTCAGTTTTCAACATTCTTCAAAATATCTTTTGTGTTCAACTGAGCAGAACACTCAAATTGATTTAGAGCAAGTCAAGGACAAGTAAATGATTTCTTTATTGAGCGAACTATGCCTTTATTTACTAATTCAGAAACAAAAAGAACTGCAAGTGTCATTTTAGCACTGAGAAAAACTCTAAATGATCCATTTATAAATATATTTAAAGCGGATTATTTACTCAATTATTTATATTTATCAATCTGCTGAAAATACCTGTAAATATAGAACAGCTTTAATTTAACCATAGGTAAAATATTTAAAGACACTAAAATGTTTCAGTGACGAAGAAAATAATCAGATCTTTTGTATAACGCATTCTTGAGAAAACCAGGCAGATGAATGCATGAGGTTAATCATTTATTTTCCTCAATGGATATAAATTAAAACCATGTGATTTGTACAGATTTAAAGTGGACGTGGATTTTTTTTACACAGCTCTGACTTGTTACCCGGATCTTACACAGAGAGCAAGCTGAAAACACATTAGTCTTGTTGGCCTACACTACATCCAAACCAGCCCTGTCCCGTAAGGAAAACACTAAACCTACAAGAGGAAACCATCCGACATCTCACATCGTCAAACCTTCAGTGCAATTAGTACTGAGAAAATATTTCTATGCCTAAACATAAGATAAAAAACAAGGTCAGTCAGCACTCTCCACCACCCAGAGGCCTCTCTATCGTGTTACTGTCCTACATCTAGTCCGAGTAGCTTCAGTACACATGCACCATCCCGTACAGGAACGTCCAGAACAGCACGTAGGTGAACAGGCCTCCGACGAGGCCCCCGGTGAACAGCAGACGGCGAGACTTGAAGCACTTGTTCCACCGTCGACCAGCTTTGAGGATGAGGAGCAGCGACAGCAGGAAAGAAGCGAGGAAGTAAAAGACGAAGCCGTAGAGTCCCGTCAGGCCGAGGATGCCCGCGGTGGCCCCGGACAGCGCGGACACCGAGGTGCGGCAGTAGTCGAGCACCGCCCCGTTCCCCCGCACCGACACCTCGCTAATGAACTGCGGACCCTCGCGTTTGGCTGCGACTGAGGCCATGATGAGATGTTAAAAACAGGCTGAGAGACAAAAACAGAAGAGCATTGAAACATCGACCATCACATAAAGCCGTGAGTTCAGTTTAAATCTCCTCCGCTTACCGTTAGAGAGAAAACACTGAAGAACACGAGCGTCTGCCTCCGCGACTCAAACAAACATCGTTTACATCAAACACTCGTGCATCGCAAACTATCAGAGCTCTGTTACAGCGAGGAATGTGTTATTTAGGAAGATGTTCTGGATAAAACACGGCGTGTGTCATTCAACATCAGCCATTTTCTCGCAAAGCACCATGGGAGATGAAAAATGTCGTTTTATTTATTTTTACAATTAACTCGGATTTAATTTTAAAATAATAACATGTAAAATTGTACGCGTTTGGATGTATAATTTCAAGTAATATTACAGTTTAAATATCTGCTTATTTGATTTACCTTTCACCCAGTGTATGGGATCCGCGAAGGCTCAAAACTTGTGATAAGATGTTGGAATCGTTCGCAAGAGTCGGTTCCTTTGAACTGTTCACTTCAAACAACTGGCCGATGCTTCCATTTCTATGCGTTTTCTGACATCATGGCGACTTTTTCTTAGATGTGACTGACCAAAATACACACTAAAGAAAAAAAACGGACAAGTCTCTACTGATTAAAGCTTCATATTGTTTGATCATAATTTAGAAATATGTTCTTCTAACTTAAAATAACTAAACAATAAAACTAAAACGAATCATATAAAAAGCTAAAATAATTCATACAAACTAAACCTATTTTAAACTTTAAAAACACTTTTCTCGTAATGACAAAGCTGAATTTTGCAGTAAGGATTCAGTGTCAGAAGGTTATTCATATTTTTGTGTAATCTTTTTTCATGATTGATAAAACAGATGTGCTTTTATTTAAGGACATTCAGTTGATTAAAAGTGACAGGAAATCATTTTAAACATACGACAAAATTTATTTCAAATACATTACATTATTACATTATTGTTTTTTTGATCAAGGAGTAAGAAAGAGACGCGGATTTAATAAGTTATTTTGTCGTAATTTTTAAATGAATCATTTACATGAGTTTTGTGAATCAGTTCAGTATATTCATTGAAAAGATTTGAAACAAGATTGATCATTCACCACTGACGATAGTTCAGAATCACAAAGTAGACAGCATGCAGGGTGTTCTCTACTATTATATTATATTTACTGCAAATATTTTTAGGATTGCACAAAAGTACTAAAGTAGGGATTCTTGACAGGTCATGGCGGAATCACAGACCGGTTGCGATCGCTTTGTTCTCGGAATGGATCTGGGCACCACATCGGTGAAAGTGGTGCTGTTGGAAGCGCAGTCAAAGACAGTGACAGAGAGCAGGAGCTTCACTACAAACGCTGATATCAGCAGCAGCACACACACACATGTAGGTGACAGATCAAAATACACTTACAATAATGCTGTGTATGTTGTTGTACAAAGGATACTTCTGTGAGTGGTCTTTAATAAGTGTTGTTTAGTGTGCTATTTAACTCAAAACTTTTATCAAACGTTGTTGTTGTTGTTGATAATAGGCCAAAGAGCAGGATCCTGCACTTATAATTGCCGCTCTGGACCAGTGCATGGCTGCTTTGCCTAAAGACAAGCTGAAAAAAGTCAAGTTCATTGGAGTATGTGGACAAATGCATGGCATTGTGTTGTGGAAATCTAACTCAGGTTAACACTGAACAACTACTGACAACATACTTAAAGGGTTAGTCACCCAAAATAGAAAAGTATGTTATTAATTACTCGCTCGTGAGTTGTTTGAAACCTCTGAGACTTTTGTTTGTCTTCAGAACACAAATTAGGAGATATTAGGTGAAGTCTGAGAGCTCCCTTATATTCCATAGACAGCAATGATCCAAAAACATCCTTAAAACAGACCATATTCCTTCAGTGATTCAATCAGAATATTATCAAACTACAATAATAATTTTGTGTGCACTTAAAACACAATGAAAAGACTTTTTAACAGTTTCTGCTCCTCAGTGTCAGTATATTGAGCACATTCATGGGCACTGTGCAGTGATGTTTACCACTGAATGCTCACACTCAGCTTCCTCTGTTTGCAGGCCCTTGCTGACACTTAAGAGAAGAAACTGTTGAATAAAGTCAATATTTTTGCTTCATCTGCACTCAATCATATTTTTAATAATATTTCGATAAAACCACTGAAGGCATTTGGTCCATATTAAAGATTTTTTTGCATTTTTGTCTGGCTTGCAGACGAGTCAGGAACCTTGTTGTTTATGGAGAATGAGGAAGCTCTCAGATTTCACCTAATATATAATAATTTGTGTTCTAAAGAAAAGATTATTGGAAAAGGTCTCAGGGGTTTAGAACAACATGAGGATAATGAGAAATTAATAGCATAATTTTCATTTTTGGGTGATAATACACTTTAATGCTTCTGGCATTCTGCTGTGGCCCTGTTTTAACAGCTTCTAAACTCATTCATAAATCATAAATGGGGTGACATCAATAATTACACTGTTGTTCATGTCTCTATTAGGCTGTGAATGGCAGAGTAAAGATGGCATCACCAGATTCAGTCCCAAAGATGTCAGTCAGCTGATCACATGGCAGGACGGGCGCTGCGACTTTGACTTCCTGTCGGCTTTACCTAAACCAGATTCACACCTGAGTGTGGCCACCGGCTTCGGCTGTGCCACGGTCTTCTGGTATATGAAACACAGGTAGAATCACACTCTACATTTCAGACTAAATTTGAAATTAAGTCTAAAATATCCAAAGGATTGATTTTAATCTATGACTCTGAATCAGGCCCGAGTTCCTGTCAGGCTTCAGTGATGCAGGAACCATTCAAGACTATGTGGTTTCCATGTTGTGCAGCCTTGACAAGTGTGTGATGACTGGACAAAATGCTGCCAGCTGGGGCTACTTCAACACAGCCACTAACCAATGGAACACACACATGTGAGTAATATTTGTTTCATTTTCCTCAAGGAAACTATCTCGGATTTCTAATAATGCAGAATAATCGAATGTCTTCTGGTGGGTTTCGGCGGCAGCATAAATTGACGGTGTGCTTATAACTGGTGCAGTCTGAAGGATGCAGGTTTCCCTGTGCACCTCTTGCCTGTGCTGGTGGATTCAGGACGTGTGGCTGGTCATACTTCCTGTGAATGGTACGGCATTCCTGCTCACACAGCGGTCGGGGCGGCACTAGGAGACTTCCAGTGTAGTGTGTACTCCTGCATAACTGACAGAGGACACGCAGGTACTGTGTGGGTTACATGAATCTTTATTTTCAGATGGCTGTAGAGCATTTTATGTGTTTTAAAATGCCCCATTATGCTTTTATAGTGTCCAGTACTGTACATGTCCTATACAGTAAAAGTAAAAGCTTTTTTTATAAAGGTCAAAATGTAAATAAATAAATAAAACATTCTCTACAAATAAAATTTTGTCCATTAAAAAAAAAAGTATTTACAAGCATTTTAAAAATAAGTGCCTAATTATTTTCTAACAAAACACATTAAAGCATTAAAGATACAGTATGTAATTTTACCATTAGAGGGCGTGTATTCACAACAAACAAAAGCATAGTTTGATGATGCCGTGTCTGAGGGTGTACTCTCACTAAGTACAGATGCCTTGAACCGTGCCGAAGCGTGGTTGTCCTCCCTCCCCCCTCCCCTGATGGTGTGCACTCACAGCTCGTCTTTACATTCCGAACCTGAGCACGCTTATATCATGGATAATGTGATTGTTTGGTTTAGCAGGAAGGGGACTCTAGCTCCATATAGTGGGGACTGCTTTAGTTATATCGTTTTAGTTGTTTGGGATGCAGTGACACGCAGTCACATATTTTCATGCTCACAAGTTATCATAAAAGTCCTTGTGTTGCAGGACTTTTGTAGTAGAAGGTTTGGTGGGTGGAGCTGACATGCAGTGAGGAGTTTGTGTCTTTATTAACCTATGACTGTTTGCGTTCATTGAAAATTAAGAATCATTAATAAATCCATATTAAACAAACCTTAAAAGTGACTTCGGATGCTTAGTTTTGAACTCAGGCTGGCTTTGCATTCACAGTACAACTGCGCCAAAGCCCTCCACAGTTTAGTTCCAACCCTGCTCCAACACACTTAGCTGTATGTTTCAAACAAGCCTGAAGGACTCAATTAGTTTGATCAGGTGTGTTTAATTTGGGTTGGAACTAAACTGTGCAGGGCTGCGGCCCTCCAGGAATTGCGTTTGACATCCCTGCCCTAAGGGGCTCTTGCAGAAATGATGTTCATGGATGAGCTAAAGTATTCAAAATGTTTTATCATGGTATTATGAATCAATGTAAGGCTTAAAGCCAATGCAGCAATTGAGACCTCTGAAGCAACTGCTGATGAGACGAGTGCAGATTATTATTATTATAGATATTATAATGCCACTGTCAATCACTTCTGGTTCTTGAGGTCGTGATCACCTGGAGAAGAAGCAGTTTTATCGAACTAAATACATTTTAAGGTTCTGTTATTATTTTTTCTTTTCTTTTTTTTTTGGCTTAGTCCCTTTATTAATCTGGAGTCGCCACAGCGGAATGAATTGCCAACTTATCCAGCATGTTTTACACAGCCCTTCTAGCTGCAACCCATCACTGGGAAACATCCATACACTCATCAACACACATCCAATATGGACAATTTAGTTTACCCAATTCACCTGTACCGCATATCCTTGGACTGTGGGGGAAACTGGAGCACCCAAGAAAACCCATGCTTACACTGGGAGAACATGCAATCTCCACACTAAAATGCCAACTGGCCCAGCCGAGGCTCGAACCAGAGACTTTCTAGCTGTGAGGCGATTGTACTACCCACTGTGCATTGTGAAGCCCTGTTATTATTTTGTTCAGTCTAATACAGTACTCGACATATTTAATCGTGTTTTTATGTTTTCTATAAAACCAAACCAAATATTGAGGGTGTGTGACATCATTAGCATGACACAGGACACACATTTCTCTGGATTTGAACATTCTTCAAAATGTTTGGAATAATGCAAGTACATAAGTCAACTAAATATTTAAAACTGTTTTAGTTATATATATATAGCATATATAATATTTCATTATTATATTATTTATTTTTTATTATTATATATTAATTATATTTTATTATATATATTGTCATGAAAAGTTCATATGTACGGTGCCTTTAACTAAACATTAGGATAAAATGTCTAAAGCAAGGAACACAAAACTATTCTTTACTGCCAAGTCAAAGTCAAAAATCAGAGCTATTTTTGTGTAGCTGTTCATAATGTTTATAATTGTACATGACATATATTTTTGTTACACTAAACTATTACAATACAACTCCTCTAAATCATTTTGTATGTTAAACTAACCAAATAATTAATTAATTCATTTTCTTTTCGGCTTAGTCCCTTTATTAATCCAAGGTCACCACAGTGGAATGAACCGCCAGCTTATCCAGCATATGTTTTACACTGCGAATGCCCTTCCAGCTGCAACACTAACCAAATTACTTAATTTAACTCATATCTGGGTTTCTAAACAACCCACAATCAAGATTATGATATTTATATAATGTAATAATCTCAACCACAAAAAAATATTCATAATCTGTACATACAGTAGTTCGGCCTCCAGGTGGAGTTGTAATGAGCACATTTAGACATTGCAGATTATGCGCTTAGATTTCAGCGTCATCTCTCAAGGGCACGGCACCAGTTTTAAGGTTTTGTAAATGAGAGATTTCAGTGCAGCAGCTCATGCTTATACTAAAAATTATAATCTTATCTTGAATTCAAATTTCTTTGTTGTTATTTGGTTGTTTTCCCATGTTCGGATCTCAATGTTTAGTTATTTGTTGTTAAAATAAATAAACAAACATGCCACAGGTTTTATGAACCAGTCAGAGATGATTTTGATTTGTTATCCTTCAACATGTTAGCTGATCTGTTGTGATAAACATGTTTAGCAATAATGACTACATTTATTGGGCAATGGTGACATTATGCTGAATGTCCAATACAAATACTTTTAGCTACATGATCTGGTGCATTTATTGTGTATATATTATTGCTTCAACATATATTGTGGATTTTCAAAAATCTGGGGTCAGTAAGTCTGTTGGAACAGACTTCTACATGTTGAGTAAACTCAGTTCTTCTGAACTTTCTGATTAAAATACAGAAAATGCAACAATTTTAATCAAAATTGACAATAAAAATAAATGTTTCTTGAGCACCAAATAATAAAATTACAATGATATCTGAGGGATCATGTGACTAAAAACTGAAATAATAACTACTGAAAGTTTAGATTTGCATAATCGGTATTAATTTAAAATGATTAAATACGAAATTGTGTTTTCAAATTGTAATAATATTTGACAATATTACTGTTTTATGGCATTTTTGATCAAATAAATGCAGGCTTGGTGAGCAGAATAGACTGCTTTCAAATCTACCAGTGTTAATAAACAGACCCCAAATTTTGATTCATGCACATATGATATGTATACACGTACATGCACAAATTAATTGTGAATTTTGTTCAATAGTGTTGAATATGAGTACTTCAGCCCAGCTGACGTTCAGGATGCCAGCTGAATTC